CTGTGGAAGCCTAAACAGACGTCGCGGTAGTTTCCTGTGTGTGTTTATTTTATTTTACATAGTTATTCTTTAAATTGACAGCAGTTGTCTAGGTGAAACTCGGTGGAGGCCCCCGCGCTTAGATGTACCTGCTTGCATTTGTTCCATGCAATTTGAGTCGTCAACGGAGACGTTTGTGTCTTCCTTTCCGGTTTGGTCTCCGGGTGGGCTCTCGGGATGTTGCCGGAGGAGCCGGGGGAGAGTCGCACGGTGGACGCCGCTATAGAGCGGGTTGCAGCGAGTGATGCTCAGTGTTATTCCAGTTATGTAGCGTACAAGTGTGTACAACTTCAATCAGAAGTGTTTTAGCCAAATTAATCAGTTCAGGAGGAAGTCTATGGATCTTTTGTAGGTGCGTGTCGATTCTCTTTCCGGCGGCGACCAAGTAGCGACCAGAACACTACGCTACACTGCGCTCGAAGAAGCTGAGCGGCGAAACACTGCGGGTGCATGCTGCTCTACACCGACGACCAGCCTTGACACGCTAACAGGAAGAAAACGTAAGTAGAGTGACCCAGAGCTAAACAGCTCCGTTACTGGCTCTCCAGAGAGAGTGACAACTTGTACTCTCTCTACAGGCAGTCATTTTACTCTCTTTTGTGAACAGCTTCACTCTTTATGACAGTGAAGTGCCTGTTTTATTCCTGCAAACCGTGAGCGTTCAAAGCCTGGTTTACTCTTTTACCGTTTGTTAGCTTGTTTTCAGAGATTGTTTTACTTGTCCACCTGTGGACAATACAAGCTTGTGAACGCACACATCAACTGGAGGCTCGCGAAACGGGAGCCCTCGCGTCTACTTCGGCTCCGTTCTGACTCGCCCTTAACGACGACGGCCTGAGGTTCACAACGCTTGGACTTGCACGTAGACAAGAAAAAAAAACGAAAGTCCACCGACTATAGCCAACTGTACATCTCCACTATTGCAATATTTTTTGTCACTGACACCTTGGAGACTCGTAAGGCCAGCGGCACAAATTTTCGTCCTGACATCCATCCTATAGACACAGTTTTTCGAAGCAGCAAGATCACGTGTAACCCACCCGGCGCCTTCAAATATTCTGAATCTGGATCATCCAAGCTATGCCCTTAAAATCACCAGCTGTGTACTTACCTGCCTGAGAGAACTTTGTTATGACGTTCTATACAATATTTGTGAGGCCACGCAGCAGCGTTCTTTTCTTCTCTGCCAAGAAGGCTTTAATAGCGATAAGTAAAAGCGAGAAATCACAGGAAAACATACCGCAGTGAATGACCCGATAACTGTAGTGGTGGTAGTGACCACCTATATCACTCTCTAGTTAATTAAATGCAAGCAGCTTGAACATTATAAGTGCTGACAATGCTCATGCTTCGACTAAGCGTGTTTACTATTTGGCGCGGGCGGAAATTGGTTGAATATTGAAGACAACGCCGGTTGCATCTAGGACTTAGGTACCATAATGAGGGATTAGAGTGTCCCACTGAAGGGAAGAATACGGAACAGCTGCGGCGTTGGTCTCATTTCTTTACAAAGGAGCTGCAAAGATAAATCCATCCAGTTTTGTATCTCTGACTGTTGGTCAATCGAGATAGAAAAAAATTATTGAAATAAAAGTCACAGCTTTGCCGAAAAGGCGAAGCAATGAACGCGATAGCAACGAATTGGAAGGTCACGCGAAGAATGGCAAGCAAACTGAAACATGCCCCGCGTTTCTCACGCAAAAATGACGCACAAAACGTACTCACAGATACAGATGAACGTGAATAAGCGTCTCAGTTGTTATTTTTCTGTGTCTGAAAAGCACAAACAGAGACTGTGCGACGAGCGCAGTGATCTTTGTGCGCCCGGTAACTAGAACAGAATCGTTGCAGTGAAAGCCCAAGGTTTAAGATGGTTCCCACCAGAAGATAATGAGCGCACGCGAGAGCGTTCCCTTTCCACGGGGAAAAGTACGCGTAGGGAATGAAAGAGCGCACCGCCGCGTCATGACGATCTGGCGACGCCCGTTCCTTGCACCATCTCGCTGGTGATTGCTGAAAACACGATAGTAGCTCCCCCGTGATGCCCATCACCAGCGGTAAGTGGCAGATATAAATAGCTTGCCGTTTGAACGTTGAAGGAAGTGCTTCTTCGTGGCTCAGTGGTTAACGGCTCGCACTTACACTTCAGAGGTAGGGGGTTCGATGCCACGTGCCAGAGTCCTTTTCTGGATTATTTTTCTCTCTTACGTTTTCTTATATACAGATACGTATACATATACTGAGAATGACGCTGGCGGCAAAATCCAGCCTACAGTGTCCATATAATTGTTATCGCAATAGTAAATGGCTGTGGTTTAGCTACGCCTGGATATGCCAGCGAAAGATTCAATAGGAAACACCAGGCCCCTTAACAACCAATAGAAACTCGTGCTCTTTTGCTAGCAGATGCGCTCGCTCGTTGCAATCTCACCGCTGAGGAAGGGCATTCAGAGAAGTAGGCATAAGCCAGCCAATACGTTCACTTGAACAACCGCAACGTCAGTAATAATTTCGCGCGGCTTGCCGCTCCACGCCATGATTGATAGCGAAACTCGCTCAACTAGGCTAGTAAACCTTTGGCTTTAAAGAAATCTAAACCAACTAACCGGATTTTATGGTAATCATAAGTTTTTATTGTTCTGTCCAGCGCGAGGGAAACTTTTGGGTCCTGGCGACACGGGCCCGTTGAACCCTGGCTTCTCGAAAGGCCTGTTGCATGCGCCACAGCATTCTGGTGCGGAAGGAAGACAAAATTACAAGGGAGGGGATGCCATAATTTTGCGGCGCACGCCACCGTGACGTAGAACGCCGTTGGGAACCTGCCGCCATAGCCCGGGCTTGAGTTCACGTTGCGGTCTGGGTCCTCAATAAAGCGAGGATGAAACATGTCTCCATATGACATTGCGCTTCCTCTACTGCTAGGGTTCGCGACGGGTCACGGCGAACCTCTCACGCAAGAAAGCAAGCGTAAATAAGCGTTGGACATATCTGTATTTGTCACCCCGTAGGAAGAAGCCGCTCTGTCTTCGAAACGTCAGGTTTCTTAATACAATTTTGATTACAATTTTCTGCTAACTGCCTCATTTCTATCCCAAACGGGCAGACTTCTGCTAAATGTTAACCTTCGCCTCCTCAACGTTTCGCGATGAAAACCGCAGGCATGCCTGAAAGTACTGTAATACGGGCAGCGATACCAAACATCACACCTTCGTTTTCACGACCGCGTGGCAAGCAATAGTGACACTTGTATCTGCGAGCGGAAGGCGAACGCCAGTGGTTTTTCGGGGACTTTGCGTTCCGGCTTCGTAAACATGCAGTCCCATAATGTGTCCCCTCGCTCTTCAGCAAGTTATCACAAGCAATTGTGCACTGCACGGCAGTTCTGCACTGACCTTTGCAAGCACCTGGGTATGCTTATTGTCAGGAGCCGAGTGCCATCCCACCCACATGAGCACCCCGCGATAACATTGAAGAAATAAAATGAATATATTTGTTGGCTTTTACCAACCCTAATAGCGAAGTGCTACCTCGCCTTTGGTTCCTGTCTTTATTCGCATCTACCTTAAATATTCGCTCAGCGTCGACGCTGCTTTTGCGCTCAATATCGAAGGTGCCGCCAGAGATGGTCGATTAAAATACTGGAGCGATGAATCATTGGCCCATATAGCCTCTAATTGATTTTCTGCTTCTGATGTTATGTTTCATTGAAATATTTTGATTAATCGTCATTTTTTATGGGTTCTTTTACCCTTCCGGCCCTGGTGTCGTCAACTGACGACACCACACAAGATCTCCTAGAACCTCGAAAACAAAACCAAAGCCACTCATTCTTGGAAAAGTATTGTATGAGATATCGACATTGTTCTCGACTGCACCGTTGTTTAGTTTTTGCGACGCCATAAAGAAGAAATTGGATTAAAGTCATGGGTGATGACGAAGCGAGGAAGCATGAAGGCGGCGTTTTCGAGTGAAGTCCTGAACTTGATCAAAGAGCTTACACCCTGTCAAATACTATATATTGGTTCAGATTTGGTGTACTCTGGGGCATAGCAGGAATGACTTTTCCATTTCTGGTATTTAATGACTACAGGGTCATGATGACCTAATTTTATGTCATATCTGTAAATCCAGAAATACACCGCTGACAAATTTTTCAGTTTTTTTTTCTGAGGCCCTAACTATTAGCAAATTACGTACTAAAAGTGGTTCTGACAAAAACAAGAGTTCCAGAGCTGAAACGGTTAAAAAAGCTATTCAGTTGTTTGAGAAGGATGATTTTCATTGATTCTTAACCAACAAATCTTAAATCTGCAAGAGATTATATGTGAACACTTTCGAGTTGGCAGAAATCTGCACTTTAGGCCATTCAACACAGGAGAACCATCACCTTTAGAGATGTCACGGATTGAAAGATGCGTGACAATCATCCATGAACCATTCAGCCACAGGCCGTATTTTTTTGAGGTCTGCCTATTCAAGTGCACCGAAATCAGACGCGTTTTCGGCGGCCCGCTGGTTGTAAAGGGCCACCGAAAACATGCAACGTGGAAAACGATTCCCGCGAACGGCAAAGCAGAGATGAGGAGATGGTTTTACAAAATTCACTAAGATGGTGTATAGTTGATGAATATATATATATATATATATATATATATATATATATATATATATATATATATATATATATATATATATATATATATATATATATATGAAACGTACAGCTGTATGTTCAATTTCCCTCTAACCGACAATATCATGCTCTAAATACCATTCCGTATTATTCTCGACTAGACTTGTTTTTGATAGTTGTTTTTCTCTTACGATCTAGTGTTGCGATGCTGTAACCAAAAATGCATGCACGTTAAAGTCTAGTTGGGGAATTTCTGACTGCTAATGCACCGTTTCTATACGTATGCAATAGAAAACCTGGGTGTTAATATATGTGAATGACTTCGTACCTCCCCGGTGGCAGGCCAGTAGCGTTGGTGAACGACGATGCCGCGTTGGGGTGCACAGGCGCCACTGAGTACACCTTCCCCGGCGAGTCCCCCACAAACACGACGGCCGCGACAGGCTCCTGGAGCGTGTACGCGACCAGCAGTTGGCTGTTGTGGCTGTTGGGCGATTTGCCGCTGGGCACCTGGGGAGGAGGAGGCACACATTGCAAAAGGCAGGTGAAAGTGATCGCGCCGCCTCACCAGGACGGGCAGCACCGCTTGCTCGCTGCTCTCCAGCAGGATGACCTGCGCGGAGGTGGTCGCCTGGAGTTGCGCTGCCGTGAGGTTGCACGGCGGCGCCGCTAACACGTTGAGTGTGTCTCGCGCCTGCACCTGAGGCTCGTTCAGCGCCTGCGTGTAGAAAGTGCAATAATCTTAAAATTAAAAGAGGGGCCACAGAAATGACGTACCGGTTCCCCCTTCTTCACAGTGATCATCAAGGATAAGCAAGGTACCCTTTGCACACTCTTCAAACAAAGGCTATTAGTATTTGTGAAAAACTTCAATGAGTCATTCTAGATGTGTTCTATATCTATTTCAGTTAAATTAGGGAGTTGAAAAAAAAATTGTCAGCTCTCACGTACACTAGGAATCGATGACATGCGAAGCACGAGTGAGGAAGGTTGATATGTCACTTTAAATTTAGCACAATGAGGCGGACGTAAATTATCCAATAGACAACTTTCATATCATAATTATCATGTTTGCTCCGGGTATTTGTGTTCGCCGTTCATTCAAGTCATGTAATACAAAGTTTAGTATATGACAAGCTAGCGAAATGGCCGCGAGCACGCTATTAGCGTAGCATGTAATCATGTTTTACTTGACAGGAACGTCGTGATTATCATGTTTATCATATACAGCTAGCGAAACGGCCGTGAGCGTACTATGAGCACCACAGGTACTCATGTTCTTACATGACATGCATGTAATCATTATCATGTTCGGATAGGCCATTTACCTTCGTCATCCATTCACGTCACGTAACACCAAATTTGGTAAGTGAGGCTAGCGAAAGGACCGTGAGCGCATCATGAGCGCGACATGCAGTCATGTTCTTCAATGACACGCATGCCATCATTATCATGTTTGGACGTGCCATTCACTTTCGCCGTCCGTTCGCGCTACGTAATACAAAATTTGGTAGATGTAAAGCTAGCGAAATGGCCGCAATCGCATCGTGAGCATGGTATGTAGTCATGTTCTTACATGCCATGCACTTCATCATTATCATGTTTGGACGTGCCACTTACTTTCGCCGTCCGTTTCTGTCACGTGATACCAAACATGGTATATGTAAAAAGCTAGCAAAACGGCTGTGAGCGCGCTATGAGCGAGGAATGTAGCCATGTTCTTACATGGCACGCATGCCATGATTTTCACGTTAGGACCTGTCACTTATGTTCGCCATGCAGTCACGTCATAGCATGCCAGTTTTGCAATGTCATGTGAACGTAATTACTGCAAGAGCAACAAGACCATTATATGTAAATCTTAACAACCATGACATACATGTCATGATTTTCATGCTATGACTGGTCACTTAGGCTCGTCATACAGGCACGTTATGCCATACCAATTTTGGCATAGATATTATCGAAACGACCAGGAGAACTAAAAGTCGAAGGCGGTTAGAGACGGCCAATGTCACCAAGGTTCGCTAAATAATGCTTCACAATTAAAAGGTTCTTCCTCTCGTATGTCAGTCCTGCAGAAGAGACAATGAATGGGAAGAGACAATGAATAAGAAGGTCATTCGTCGACCTTCCCTGCTCCATTGTTTCAAACTCCTGCCCATCATCCTTCGCGGCAAATGTTGCAAATCACCTGTGCTGCGAAAATTAACGTGTTCAAATGCTATCTTTTCCTGTGTATCCACCCCTTATGTAATACCGCCCAGTGGGGTCCTTAAGGAAATAAAAATGAAATGAAATGAAATGAAATGCGGAACTGATGATGATGATGACGATCAACACTTTATTACTCCAAAAAGAGGGGACCAGCCGAGAGGTCGGTTACGCTGCTTAGAGGAGTCAGCGGGGATCCCTTGAACACCGCGGACTCCAATGCGCGTGAGATTACCCGACGTTCCTGTGCCGAGTCAGTGATATGCAGAAGGGACTCCAATGTATATTCTGTGTGAAAAGCGTCTGTACTTTCTCTGCTCTCTCTTCACGCGGTATTAGACTGTGCTCTTATCTCTAGAACAGTTTTCCTCGAACTGCTCGTCTCGGGCACTCCATGGCTTTGGTTACGTGAGCTTCCTACAAGCAAGCTCGGCTTGAAGGTCGCTGAGCGGTGACCCACGGTCCGAATATGAAGGAAGAGATGAGAGGTGAACGCATCTTTGCTTCCCGTACAGTTTGAGGCGACAGTGGTGGCCTGTTTCCCATTACTTTAACGTGTAAAGGTGCCAGGGCTACAACACAGATATATCTCGGGAGCAGTATGCAAACCCATTGTCACTTAAGGTTTCTATTAGAGGGCACCAGCGCATACATTGTGAAAAAGAAAAGTCACAGCTTTGCCGCAAAGGCGAAGCAATGAACGCGATAGCAACAATTTCAAAGGTCACGAGCAAAATGGAAAGCAGATCGAAACGTGCCTCGTGTTTCTCGCGCACAAATTAAGCACGAAACGTACTCACAGGTACGGATGCCCGCGAATAAGCGTCTCATTTGTTACTTCGATGAGTCTGAAAAGCGCGCACTTTTCGCGAACGGAGACTGCAGTGATTGCAGTGACCTTTGAGCCCCAGGTATTTACAGCAGAATCGTTCCACGTAATGACAGAAGCCAGCCAAGACGTACGATCCTCCCCTCTTCCCCACTGCGAGATAAGGGCGCGCGAGGGAGCGTCACTCCCCTTCTCTAAACCGGGCAAAGTACGTGTAGCAGATTAGAGCGGGCGCCACTGCACGATGTGGTGACGTGCACTCATTGCGCCATCTTTCTGGTAATGCCGAAAGCCCAGCAGCGGTAAGTGGTAGATATAAATAGCTTGCCGTTTGAATGGTGAAGGACGTTCGCTGGGGTGGCTCAGTGGTTAACGCATCGCTTTCACGACGCAGAGGTCCCACGTTCAATTCCGCGCGCCGGAGTGCTGTTCTCTGAATTTTATGCGCTCTTGCTTTTCATATATATAGATACGTGTACATATACGGTGAATGAGATCGACGCTGACTCATCATGTAACTCCTCAGACGAGATGGGCACTAATTATGCTCATCTCGTCTACCGCGTCTAAGCCAGCGTTTCCAAACCATCCCGCAGAAACAGGCAGTAGAACACGAAATAACGCTGGTCAACAAAACACCGTCGCCAGCGTGCTCGGGAGTTGGTCTTGTTCGGGCACGAGACCTCTTGATCGGATGTCGTAGAGAGTAGGGGAGAGATTTGGCTTGCGAAGGGTATAGGCGGGGCGAGCGGTGAGGGCTTTGAGCTCGCCTGCTCCTATCTTCCCTTCGCGCCACTTAGAAAAAAAAGAAAGGAAAAGAGAAAAACCAGCTTTCTCGGCTCGTAATGAACTGGAAGAAAAAATTTTCTGTATAACGTGCTTGATCCGACACACAACTTTCACGGTCTCACTAAAAGTGGTTATTGAGCCTGGTGTTGCCCTTTAAGTTGATAAATGAAAAGATGATGGTTATAAACCTAAAACAGCGTAATAAAAAATGCAGTGTGAGCAGCTGTAATGAGCACAAGCTTTATTGTCAGCAGTTTGGCAAACAGCGCTAGAATAAAGAATATAAAACTCCTTTGAATTCAGGTTATTAGGAAGAGGCCTAATGATCAGTTTTAAAAACCACAGAATTGAGCTGACACCTTGGCCGCAAATGACAGTTGTGTAAACTACAACATAATACAAAATTTATAGGAGACGGACGTAGAAAACAATTTGTGAACGCGACCTTGTACAACTTTTGGCATCAGTTAAATAACGGATGCCCGGGCAGATGTAGTTTGCGCAGCTGTGGTTTCTGCGTTAGCTGCAGAAGTAAATGTTGGTAAATTTGGTGCCCAGGTGTCTTATGTGACTTTGCTTCGAATAAGTAAAAAAAACGCGGGACCTAACACAGCTTATTTTTTCGTGTTTGGTATAACAGGCTCTTCTTTTTAGATACGATTGTTTCGCGACAGATATCTCTTCATGCGGTCCAACGCGGTTGCCACACGGTATTTATGTGCTCTATAGGTGTATTCCAACTTGAAAACTGGAGTTAGACTGGCATAGAAGTTTGTCTGGAAATAGCATTACAGATCAGGCGAGTCGGTACGAGTCCACGCTATATACGGTTGCACACACGAAAGCCTAGATTCCTGTTCACCCACGCCTGTGCAATCGTAATCTAATGTAACCGATGTATGGAAGCTTGCATTACGTCCCTATGTAACAGCGGTAGAGACAGCATTGCAAAGCACTGTACTCACAATGCATGATGAACGCGTCACTCAATTGATTTGGGTCAGCCAACGTTTCTTTCGCGTTGGGCCCTGACTGAGGAAAACGTTCTCACTGCGTTCCCACTGTAGTGTGCAACGCAACGGCCTGTCATGCGAGCAGCCGCTGACGCAGCGTCCCAGAAAACGTAGAATTTACGGCGCCAAGTTCCATTCGTCGAAATGCGCAGGTATAGAACGGGTAACTATTGTTCGATGGTCGTCTAACGTTGCGTGAGTGGAGGTAAACCTGCAGCCACTTGAACATGACGGCACCGTCGTTGACCACGTTGAGCCGGTTCAGTTGAGAATCAAAATTACGACACAAGTTGACAACGACGGCAACCGTCAAAAAGTTGCAGGCGTGAGCATGTAACCTTTCAAAGGCTGACATCACCCTAAAACCTGGCGGGACGCTTGTGTATACGAATGCTCCCTCCCATAACAGCCGACGCGACAGCTTCAAGAGGGCGTAACTCCATCGCAACGGCTACCGCTTTGCGAGTGTACGGCGCTTGGTATTTTATTATCTTGCATAAAGGCCTTTGATATATTGCTCTGTTTCTCTAATGCGTACAGACGAGGTTATTAACATGAATTAGGCACTTTGTCGACATGCGATTACCTCGGCCCAATAAAGATGCCCCAACCATTCCCCTTCCAAGCAGGGTTGCTTTGTGTGCGCGCGGTAAAAATATTGCCTGCTGCCGCTCTGCGTTCACATTCACGCGTCGTTCATCACGGCACTTTCGATAATAAAGGCGGCAATGTAATGGAAATGGAAGTGCTGCAGTGCACGATAAGTGGTTCTCACACATTGATAGCATTTCGTAAATGCGACATCTATAGATGGTCCACAAGTCTCGCACGTGTCAACACAGGACAGCTATCTAGCAACTATTGTAGACGTGTGATCTACCCCGTGCATTTTCATGCAGAAAAGTGCGAAGAAACTGCAATGTTCATGTTTTCATCCTTCGTTGCACACTCAATCTGACTCTCGGTTTAAATGTCGAAGCTTGTTGTCGCAAGTGTCATTACGAGTTGCAATATCACGAAATATATGAACTATAATTAGTTCCAGGCATACTCATGGGTAAAGTACAGTGTAAGCAGCATAACTTATTCACCATCATACTTATGCACCTTTTTATGCACCAACGTAGATTAAGCTGATTTAGTCGACATGCATTTAGCTTGATTAGATCACTGGCGCTTCTACAAAATGAAACCAGTGCACTCCTGTTAGCTAGGAGGGTCGAATGATCGCATGCATTCATGGTGACATGGAATGAGCCAGAATCTTTTGCTGCACTTCCCTTCAACTACTGTGTCTGACCTGTCAATTAACGCCGGTGAAGCCAGTTACTAAAAAAAACTTGTTCATGTTGCAATGAAAAAAATGTTCATATATAAAGAACGTACTTGATTTATAATTCGTGAATGCCAGAACATTTTCGATTAGATTGCCGAGCTCCAACCTAGAGTACCTTTTGCGATTGTGGCTCAACTGGTGAGCAGCAACTTTCTTCTGGCGTGCTTTTCAGTCATGTCGCTGGAGATGCTGTCGACATTGTCTGAATGACAGCCAATCCCTAATACAACGACCATCTAAGAATAAGTTTCAGTGCACTGTTGTTCGTTAGTGATTAAAGCGATATGCTTGACTTCCAAGCTTCAATCACAAAATTAGCCGAATGAATGTGTCTGCGCAGCACCAGCGTTACTTTCCAAAAAAAAAAAACTGCTCCGGTGTTTGTAATATAGTATCTGCATTCCAGAATACTTTCTCCTATGTTTGCAAAAAAATTTCTGAAATATTCGGCCTGTGTGTGTGCCCGGCTTTTTGAAAAGTGTTAGGTACTGGTGCCGTTCCTACTGACTGGAGTGAATGTCGTGCCAGTATACAAAAGTAGGCCTGAAACTGTGTTGAGAATTATACGCTTGTGACCTTGACCCGTATTACATGAGAAGTATTGGAACAGAATATATATTAGTTGCATTATGTCGTATCTTGTACGGCACAATTTAATATATGCAAACAAACATGACTTTAGGCAAGCTTTACCTTGTAGTACGCAGCTAACGAAATTCGGCCATTCTTTGGCGTCAGCAAGGCAAAAGGCAAGTAGTCGATCGCATCTTTTTAGATTCGCGTAAAGCGTTTGACGTCACACATGATCTATTTATTAGCAAGTTACATGCTGAAAAATAACACTACAAACTGAAGCAAAACTCACTGCATGGATATCGGAATTTATTTCACATAACGACAGTCTGTACACATGGTTCTCAACGCCATCTCCTTTGAAATTGCTGGAGGGACGTCTGGAGTAAGTACCCCAAGGCTCCGTCTTGGGGCCTCCCTCATTTTCATTGTCAATAAATGACAGCACTAGTGGCATTACTTGATCTTTGCGGATGCTTGCAGATGACTGTGAGGTGTATAGAGTTATTTATGTGAAAAGTGCGCCAACGTGTTCTTTTGCTCATGGCCACTGTTGCGCAATGAATATAGACGTGAAAGTGCTCTTAGAAGATCGAACACGTGTTCTGTTTTTTAGCGTTCATGATAACCTATTATTATGATAACGCACACCTTGTTACAATATATTTGTGAGATTCGGCAGTGTCTACCACGAACAACAGTGGCATTAAACGTTACTCGCCACGCCAGTCGTAGAGTGAAAATCGCAGCCTATTCGCAGCCCATGTGAAATGAAGAAATGAAGCCGCTATTAGCGATGGTTGCGAAGAGAGCGAACGAATAGGTTTTTTTTTTTTGTTGCTGCACTCATGACATGTGAAACTGTCATTACACAAGCGCAAGCGACTCGTAAAATGAAAGGTCACCGTTGCTGCTCCTTCCGGCATCATTTTCACCCGCAAAGTTCTGACGAGTGCCACTACGTGGTGATGCGGTCGGCAGCGATGTAGTGACATTATTGCGTGCTTTATAAACTCAATCATACTACATCCGCGCTTAGACCAATGCTAAGATTCCCTCCAGCTATCGGTCTACGCAAACCAATAATAAAGAACAGGTGCTTGAAAAGTGTTAGAGGGCTCCTTTAAGGGAAATCGCGGAGCGCCTGGCATCGCGATGCGACTAGCGCTGCAATCGCGTGCCGGCAACAACTCACGCGTGCGCAGACGCCTCAAAGGTGCAGAGTTGAACCGCGTCGTCTGCTACGGCAAGGCGCCTGCCGCATGGTGGGCCAGCGCACGGATATCATTGTTAATGTAAGAACTGGGCCGATGCTTCGCACTAATAATTTTCAGTAAAATCTGCGCCGCAAGAGGGCATACGAAGAAACAACGAGCGACAAACTAGCACGCACTTTCTTTCTTCGTGCGCCGTCTTGCCACGCAGCTTTTTTTTTTTTTTCAGATGTTTCCGTACCAACCTAACCGTTTCTCGATGCTTGTCTGCACTAATCGTAGTGCAATGCCAACCTTGATTCATTGATATGTGGGGTTTAACGTCCCAAAACGACCATATGATTATGAGAGACGCCGTAGTGGAGGGTTCCGGAAATTTCGACCATCTGTGGTTCTTTAAAGTGGACCAAATCTGAGCACACGGGCCTGCAACATTTCCGCCTCCATCGAAAACGCAGCCGCCGCAGCTGGGATTCCATCCCGCGACCTGCGAGTCAGCCGCCGAGCACCTTAGCCACTAGACCACCACGGCAGGGCAATGTCAACCTTTCTGCCTTTATTCGTAATAATGGGACACTAGAAAAACAATATTTCCCAGCATACCTTGTTTGCTCTATCGAAACATCGTTGCACTGTGTGCGTTCAGAAATCTTGCTTCATTGTAAGCGCGCCGCAGTAAGCTTGCATGAGGAAGACATGATAATGTGCATGCATCATGCATGGACTCTATTTGACTTTAAATAAAACAGAGCACTCAGTTGCGACTGTTGAAAAGCTGTGTGGGCTAACGCAACAAAACAAATGGGAATGAATTCAAGAATGATTTAGGGTAGAATAACTACCCGAACGTGCTTATTCTCGACCATATCTGATCACAACAGAAAGGACTCGCTCCCAGAGCCGAAATTCACTCGTGACGCTTCCAAATTGATGTCCCCAGCGGTAGCGACGTTAGCGCCCATTCTAGACGGCAGTGAATACATGGTGTCAGCGATGTGTTTTGTCGCAGCATGCCCCATTCATTGACAATGGGGGCGTGGCATCACAAGATCCAGATTGAGCTCAATGAAACAGGGGCTCGTCTTCAGTATGTTTTTCCATTTTTTTTTGTCTGAAAAGAGCAGCACTGCGTTGTTCGCCAGGCTAACCATGTACCATGTACCAGAAAAAAGCGACTTAAGATTATATTGAGCTATGCTGCAAAACCTACACAACATTTCAGAGCCGGCAAGCGAGTCTTGTGGTAATAGAATGTCATCGTAAAAAGACATGTCCAGGCTTTGTCCTAACCTTAAATATTGCTGAATTTGTTCCCGTTTGTTCTGTCATGTTAAGCCTGCGTAGAAGTACAACTCTTACTGTTCAGTGCGTTTTGTTTGTTCAAAGTCAAGAGAACGCACATTTCGTGCTAATTGTCGTGTCTTCCTCGTTCAAGTGTACTGCGGTGCACGCACAATGAATAAATATTCCATACAGAACCACGGCGTTTCGAGAGAGCAAACAAGTGTATATCCTGTCAAGTTCTGTTTGTAGCTCATAGGTAAAGGCTGAGAGGTTGGCGTCGCACAACGTTTAGTGCAGATTATCGACCCAGTTCCTGCGCTGCAATGCGGCAAGTAAGAGCTGCCATAGCAGATGACGCGGTTCAAAACTACACTGCAGAATTGGTTGCCACGCGCTTCGAGATTTACCCTAAGTGTGAAACAGCCTGTACATGAACGCTTTCGTATTGCAGCAAGAATGTGACTGACACACACTCTCTACTTCAGAAAATTGCCCAACTAAACGCTTAAAAACGGAGTCATTTGTACGTCTCGCTGCACAACGCAGCCACCGCTGGATCCTCTGGGAAGGGCGCGATGATCAAATGGTCAAGTGCTTCCAACCAGCCTATCGCAAAGCTTGGTGACTGGATCAAGGCTTTTTGCTACTTTTGGAACATAGGGGGACTTTAAAAACAGCCGCAGGGGCCTGTGCGAGTGCGCTCTTTTATGCTTTTATATATAATTCTATAGTCGAGTGCTGGCTGGATTTTCACAAATCCAAATTCTTTTGTGACCATGCAATGCCTGTATATACTGTTATTCTGGTTATCGTTGACCAGACTGCTAGGTAATCTATCATGCTAGAATTAGCTTACTTGTATACACTTAATGTAAGGCTAGTTTATGTGAACATAGGGCTAAATATAGTGAGCGTGGTGTCCACGCACTTTTGGTACAACAATAGTTGCAGATTGTGTACAGTGTAAGGATATAGCGTTATTGTGGCCATTGATTGACGTGTCACAACCTTGGCGCGACCATAGGCGTTATTTATTCTTGTTCCAAGCGAGTAGCGCCAGCTGTGTTTTCAGTGGCATCACGACGCAAGACGACTCACCATTCCAGGTGGAAGCCGTAGTTCCAGCTCGGAGCCGCTCACTTGAACCGGACAGGGCAGGGTGTTGACAAACATGAGCTTTTCGAATCCAGCTGGTGGCGAGGCTTCGGCACCACTCTGCGTGAGGGAATCAGGCTACTTAGCTCCGGTTGGGGAACTCAACTGTAGAATAACACGTGCGCAACTTTCAACTGGATTTATTCAGTGCACAATTGATGCTTCTATACATGTACGTGTGTGACATATCTGGAGTCATTCACAGATATACACATTTCCAACCACAGACATTACACCACATATACTCGTGTGACCATTGACACGTACATTTACACGAAAAACTAACCAAGAGAACAACCACGTAATCTATTCCTGGCGAGTGGCTTCTTTGGGACTAACAAAGAAAGACATAACGTACGTGAATTCATAATGCACAGCTAGAAGATAGGCATGAGTTTTCTCGGCATGAGTGACTTTCAGTATTGTACTGCTCTCTCTTTGTCTTTTTTTTGTTTTTTATAAAGGCTTAGCTTTGATTTTACGTACGCGTATAAAACGCTTGAGTGTCATAGTGACCAACACTCTGGTATATATGTGCAGTGTTGTGCCCATGATAAGGCATATGTATATCACGAAGTGGCTCAAGATATGCATTTATTTACATCATTTCTCCACCCTGTAAATCCTATTGAAAGCTGGGGCAGTTAATTTAAATATTGTTAGGGCTTAACGATCCAAAACCACTGCGTGATGACGTCTTAGTGGTGGGCTTCGAAAATTTCGACCATCTGGGTTTCTCAGCGTGCGCTTAGGTACACGAGCACTTTGGGCTCCATCGGCCACTATTCGATAGCGCGCGGGTCAGCAGTCGAGCACCAGCGTGCAGAGTGCGACGGATTGCTCACCTCAAGCGCCAGGTCAAGGCAGCCGGCGACAGCGAACGCAGCAGCGGCAGCGAGACCCCCGACGGTGATCTTTTGCAGGGGTCTGCATTGTTCCGGCCAATGATTACATACGCACACCACCATAAGTGCAGCAAAATACGCACCTGTTAAGTAGGTTGCACCGGTTGAACATGGGATATACGCCGTAGCTGAAAACAGGAACTAGCACCAGTATGAGCAGTGGGTTCACCAGCTGCATTTGGTCCGGCAGGACTTGGTAGCCGAGCTGCGTCGTCACAAGTGTGCAATGAACACACACGATGTACGTGTTGACATTGGTTAAAAACAATGCGCTGCCTCTCATGTCTTAGCACGCGCTTCAAGTCTATGTATAGCGTTACTTAACGCAACAGATGTAGATTGCGGCCTCTGAAGGATGCCTGGAGGGGTTTATTTCATTTGCGTGGTCTTGAATACCGAGACGAACGCAAAAAGAAGTATGAGAATGCGTGCACGCCATCCAAATTTAAAACTTCAGCAAGCGAGAAAAAATGAGGAGAAGTTCTCTTTGGCGTTTCAGTCTGGCAACTGATGTCAATGGCATGTTTAAATCACCGCGCACTTTTTACAGAGACATACCGAAAATCACGCCTCGTTGTGACCGTTGTGCAGCGGCCCTGGCATCACTGTGCAAATTGTTTTCAAACTTTTATTATAAAAAACAGTACTTTTGCATATAAGAAACAGTGCTGTACACGATTATCGAATACAGAAACGAAAGCTCCGTGCTGGTTCCTTCGTAATTTTGGAACATGTTCCCGTTGCGAGTTTTCCTAATGCAAAACCAACGCTTTCCTGTCACACTCACAAAATAAAAACTTGTCTATACACTAACGTTAAACTCGATTTTTTTATTAACACACACTTTTGGACATTTTTGGATAAATGCTTAGCCGTTACAAAGGGAGCAGCTTAAGCTCACATCGAACTACGCACATACTGCGAATGTAAACATACCGCAGCAAGTTGTATGCCATATAGAGACAAAAATAATGTTCAGAAAATGCTCTGAGGTGAATTATTAGAGGGCGCTGGACACACTCTAGACATATAAAAATCACAAATTGGTCCAGCTGGTGATGCCAGTTTCCAGCAATTGGTCCCACAGAGAATACTGCACTTCAATACACCAGGGCATGCCCCCGCTATTTTATATGGAGTGCGGTGTTTTACTTAGGACAAATGATATAACTGCGTTTCTTAGGGCATCCAACAAGTGCTCCCCTTCCCCTCCGAAAAAGATCCTCGCATATCCACGAGGTGCATAATGATGAGTGGGCGAAGCTGCGGAAGTAATCTGGGAAACCGCGAATTGCGCCCATTTTGCCCACTCGATCATCATGTAAAGACACGAGGTGTGCACACAGAACTATTTTAGTCGTCGCCGTATATGGTAGCGAGATACGGCTTCCGTTGCCGGGACGACGCTGAAGTCTTGCTTCTCGAGCCCTAAGCTCTGGGCTGGCTTGACGGTGAGCCCGCACTGCAGCTGCTTTGTGGGCCCGCCACCTTGTCTTCATTAATATTATCGAAGCGCAGTGACTGACCACTGTCGAAAGAAAAAGAAAGCGCGTCGAGAGCATGCGTGGTTTGTAGTTCTGGCCCTTTAGCGGTCTGCTATAAAACTAGAGTTCGTCCGCGCTGGAGTGAAGTGAACGCTGCAGGGTCTTCTAATGTCCTCCATTAAAACTATAGAAGCCAGAAAAGCGACAGCACAGCTGCGCTTCTAGTGAGCACTCCAAGTACTAGCGGCTGGCTACGGCGATGGGGAAACAAGCCTTGACCATACAAAATTGCTGGCGGGAATGCGAGGTACCAACTGGGGTATACCGTTCCAATTGATGAATTCTTCGCCATTTGATTTACCAACTAGAATGCTTGTTAGTCTAATTGGTGCAGTGCAATCTGCCTCAAAATCGGAATGCTTGTTGGTCTGATTGCGAGGTGCACAGTGGAGATGGAAAAGCAGTTTCAATTGAAGTAGACCCATTATTTGAAACATTATAGTTTTAATGATTGTGATGACATGCCAGTGCTTAAAAGGACGCTGAAGAAAAATGGGACAAATATGCGAAAACACTCAACTTCGACTAGGACGATATGAATGCTCCTATAAAGCGCGTTTATTCGAAGTAATTTTGAGCAGACGGCCATATTTTGGTGGATTGTGAGAGCGCGGCTACTGCTCGCTTGCAGTGTGCTTGGCCGTGACGAGAAGTCTTCTGCCCGACTACTTGTCTCGTTCAACCTATCCTCTGAAAAGATGTGTTTCTCGTTCCCCCACCGTCCTCACCGTGGCTAATGCGAGCCGATGTATTCAAGCGTCGGAGCATTTGCCCACATCACCACTCGTGGCTTCGTGATAAACGTGGAGTTCATTTTCCTTGTGACATGCAATTATTACGAATTGAATAAACTGATGCTTCAAGTGCGCCATCTGCGCAAGAGAACGCCCGTTCCGAAACCACTAGTGACATCGCGACCAGCAATGCACGATCATTGCGCAGGTAAACACGGGGCACCGGCATTTCGGCGACCGGCTCGCTTCGCTGCCACTTTTACAATGCCGATGATGTTATCAGTGTACGCTAATCTATTACATACGAGTGCAAAGCTTAATCGTGTTGTCAAAAACATGCGTTTAGACGAGGTAGCATGCTATTGCGAACGGCGGAGGCAATGGCGGGCGTCAGCCATACTGAACCCACCTATCGTAGTAGTGAGACATGGGGTGCTGTTGCCGCTGCTGCGACGTGCAAGTCATTCACGAAGATGCAAAGTTTTTTTTTGCTTCATTACGAGAACTCTTCCGAGTGTGCATGTCGAGGCCACGGGTATGCATTCCGTTGCTTGCTCTTTCGCCCCAAGGTGTGCTGCATCGTCGTGGGCCGCATGCCGGAATATGCTGTGTCGCATCGTGTAGGAAATCGTGCCATCAGCCTTGACAGTGATTGCGTGCTCCGAGTTCGAGAGGCCTCCAAAACAGATGCAACAATTTGCGCACTACTCTTTCGCTTTCTGGAGAATGTGGAGGAGACTGCACCAGGGTACTGCGGTTTCAACGACATGCCCAACTCCACCAAAAAAGCGCGGATAATCTCATATATAGTCACTATACTCCAAATGTTCGGAGCACAAAAAGTAGCGCTTTACCCACGATGGCTGTGATATCAAGCTTCGGCTCGGTATGACAGGGCCTGTCTCTCACGACGCTTCTTTTCGCACACACTATCGCAGAGCAGCGTTGAAGCATTCTGTGTTGTGTGAGGTGCTTCATTGTTCCCATTACGTAGCAGCGCACACAACACAAACGGTACAATCGCTGGCGTGGACACAAACTCCCCCTGAGAAAGCAAATATACGACCGAATGCTGCAGCGCGGCCATGGGCTGCTGGTCAGCTACCGGGTGAAAACACGACGAGGTCATGCTTCACAACACGTTTCGAGAGAGACGCACAGAAGCGGGTGGCTGGGGCTGGGCAGCACAGCTGCGGTGGCAGCTTGCGATGTCGATTGGTAAGCAATTTTGCGGGTTGGTGGGTTAGCATCCGACGGGCGTCGCGCAACTTCCTCTCTAGTTCATGGCACACCGTTATGACGCGCCAATTCGCGAAAATGTATCAAATTCAATATTTTATGCTAGCCTTGGGCTGAAATGAAGGATGCCTGTCTGCCACATACGGATAAAGTCACGCATATACCTTTAAAAACTGGCAGACAGGCATGACATCCAAGTGTTTTTTTTTCCTGTGCCAAAAAAGCTCTCCCTCTTATGCCTAAGGGCTCCCGCGAGCAGACAAGAGCGAACCGGCTGTGGTAAAAAGCATTCGATAACATTCTCGAAGTGCGTCATAGGAATGGTGTGCCAAATCCCGCTTGCGTATGTGACACAGACTGGCACAAACAGGGCCCTGCGTTAATGAACGCGTAGGGGAGCATGTCGAGTCAATTAGAAGAGAAAATGAGCGAACTTGCCCACGCATCGCAGCCAATTCATGGGGTACGAACCCGTGCCCCATGAATGTTGTGTAATCTTGTCTAATGGTGCAAAAGCCTTTGTCAAGCCTTAATGGTTTTTTTCTTTCGTCCCACAGCATTACTGTTGTAACTTTTGAAATGTCTCATTTATTGTTGAAATAAATTTGGACTTGAATTTGAATATGAATTATTCGAAAAGATGAAAATCCGACGCAATAGCAAATAGAGTATAGGGCGCGAGCTGTTAGAAGCTTTTTTATTAAATGAATGGGCGATAACTGCGTAAGTGGCCCTTTTGTTGCCCTGTATAGCGCAGAATGTTGTTTGTTCAGCAGCCTTTGTTGACATGAGGTGAACTTGACAAGTGTTTGCCCTTTTTTTTATTCCCCCTTTCTTCTTCCGACATCCTTGGGACATGTGAAAAAAGTGCATCAATATTCAGCGACTAAATTAATAAAACCAGATGATAATTTGTGCTCTTTCCGCTTACTCTGTATTTTCCTTCCTGTGTTCGTCCGATCGAATGTTCCGAGTTTCCAATCACTGATTTGCACCAACTCGTTCACCGAAAAGTTATTCAAAAATGCTTTGTTTACTCTTGTGTCCCTGTTCATTCAGCGCTATTTTTCGTTGGCTTCGACCCCCCCCCCCCCCCCCCCCCCCCACAGCCACTCACCCCCGCCCAGTCGCGGTGCAACACGGATTAAAGACGACATCAAGTCGTTGCCAATGTTGTGCACTTTAGATGCGGACAGCCATACGAGAGCACAGAAAGAAAACGGTGAAAAAACGCTACTTTCGCATGAAAAAGCAAAAACAAAATAACAAATCGAAACGACTCCACCTCAACCAGTCAAATAAAGAGCAAATCAGCCCTGAAAAAAAATCTTCTATACAAAGGCTTTCATTGACAAACGCAGTGACTTTACTGGTTATTTTTTTTTAAGTGCGCGTGCTACGCTATGTGCCATCAGCCTAGTAATCGTAACCGGACCGAGCTTTTATGTGAACACAAGCCAACGGTCACCAGCTTTACCATCATGTTTTACAGCCAGCACATCTGCAATACTCATGGTAGTATGTTCTGTGCACGGATTCTGCCCATTTCTTTACTTTCGAGGCAAGCATTTCACTTTGCAACTATTGCAACTTTAACATTACTAGCAGATTTGGCATATTTCGTTTTTACCATAACTAGTGTTGGCTCACGCCTGTATACCGTACAACTGTGCAGCAAGCATGAAAAGTGGGAGCGGTCAGTCTTGCTACATCTTTAACATTTTAACCATTCGTCAGAGCTTTATAAACTTGTGCAAACCACTACGGACAGCGCTGAGAATGTTTGCATAAATGGCCTCTTAGGATGAGTGCTTACCTCAAAGCACTTGTTTGCACACACGGTGCCGGAGTGTGCTGGAAAGTGCCACCAGAGCTCACCGTTCTTAAACTATTGTATTGATCTTTGTACTGCAGACGTGGAGCACACCTTTCTTACCGCATATTTTTTTTCATGCAGCCTACCTGATTGGTGACGCAACGCTGAACAAAGAAGCCGAAGCAACAACACTATATCCACGACCTTGTTTCCGGAAGCTGCAGCGGAACGGGCAACAGTTCGGGAACAAATGCTCTTGGTGGGAGATATTAGAGAGCTGTGCTATGAAGTCCCCTTTGTGTGAGCCTTTTTGAAGTGAAGTGCATTTTCCCTTCACATAAAAGAAGCCGGGGCTAACGGCTAATATTACTGACGAACACCTCAGCTCCCTTGTACAATCTGACATCAAAAAACACAAGTACACAACTGAAAATATAACGTAGTAATTGCAATGTCAGCTGCTCTTGCAAATGTAACGCAATGCTGCTGTTAAGCATGCAGCAGTGACCAGATAAAAACCACTATACAAAACACAAAACTGGAAAATACAAGCTTGTACAAAACACAAATTAGATTAGATTATTTCTTTGTTTTTATGGATAATTTCAATGGAACATCAAAGTTAACATTGGTCGACATTTTATTATTAGCTGTTTAATAAACAACACAGACAGCCTGAGAAATTGAACTGTTATTTCAGACATCACAGCAGTGAAAGCCCAGCCAGTGAGAACAGCGACAACGTCCTGCCATAGCCTCTCGTGTTTAGTGCTAACGATGTGACTGCCCAGCTTGGCATGACCCACTACTTCTTCATTACAGCTACAATTATCTGATGATTTAATTTTTGCTTTGTTTGCAATAATACGCGTGATAAACGCAGCGGATTTATTTTGGAAAATGATATGCGTCTTAGGCAAAGTACAGTTTTGAGTGTGTAGTAGATTGGTTCTAATATTCTGCAACAGTAAAAAAAAGTACACTGTGTTCACTTTAGCCAAATCATAACTGTGAACAATGACAATGTGGAAAAAAATTGGGCTGCCCCAGTACCCATGAATGCATCGCAAAGCTTTCCTTTTTTTGTAGTACTAGTAGTTTCTGGTGGACATAGACGTCCCCCATACGAGAATTCAATAGGTAAACTTGGAATACACAAACGCATAATGCAACTGCAGTCTGAACCACTCGGGCACAAGAGAAGCTACTTTGTAGAGACAACTATCCAGATGCTGTTTTTACAATTGTATTTTAGCAAAGGTCCTGGTGGTACAAGACACCGCATAATTTAATATAATCGACCTCATATATTTTTAGGCATCCAAATTGAATACTGGGCTCGTAGAAATCAGTAGTCTTGATTGACCTAACACATTATAACTCGCTTTGGATACAATCAAGTAAAACATGTTGCACTGTAGCCATAACTGTTTCTTAAGTACTTGTTCACCGTTGCCTCCGCTTGTACAATAGATCTGGCTATGAAGAATATGGTGGCATCATTTGCAAGCACCATCATGTCATGAGAGCCCGAAGGTTTAGGTATGTCATTATATATATTAAAACCAATATTGGTCAGAATATAGAGCTCTGAGAGACTCCGCAAGCGGCTGTTAGTCAGTTAGAAGTAGTATCATGCAGCCGTAGGTACTGTATGATAAGGCTTAAATAATTCTGCACTATGTGTACACGGCAGCTGACCCATATGCCCCGGTATCGAATCCCAGCTGCGGTGGCTGAATTTTCGATGTAGGCGAAAAGGCTGTAAGACCGTGTGCTCAGATTTGGGTGCACGTTAAAAAACCCAAGGTGGTCGAAGTTTCCGGTGCCCTTCACTACGGCGTCTTTCATATTAATATGGTTATTTTGCGACGTTAAACCCCACATAACATCATCAATTCAGCACTAAGTTTAACACCACGTACACCGTAGTAATTTACCTTTTCTAAAAGGATATTGCGCTGTACGCAGTCAAACGCCTTCCAAAAATCTACGAACAGTCCAAGAGCATAGTATCGGAACTATTCTTTCGTAATAAAAAAATAAAAATATTTCGTGCTCAGCACAAGTCATTTTAATTTGATGATCGTTTAGTTGGTTAACGCTATAGAAACCACTTTATTTCAGCTAGCTGAGAAGATGAGAGCCAGTTAGCTGTGATTGGATGAACATATGTTCCCGACTAACAAATCATGTTGAAACCAGTTCGCTCCAAATGGATAACCACAACTATTAATTTCTTTACGCCATTGAATACACCCTACTTTCAACTAGAAGACCATACATAATGAACTGGCTTACCATTGTGACACCAGTTTATTTCAGTCGGTTACTCACTTGGGCACCAAAACAGGTCCACCAATTGGCCAATAGGTATGCTCAAGTGGTTTACCTATTGAATGTGAACTTTCTTATCGAATGTATGTTATTTATACGTTCCAAATGATGGTGAAATTTCAATTGGCTGAAAATTAGTTCTAGCCAACGGGCATCTTTTCAAGTGCACTGAGATGTCCAATAGCGACAGTTAAGCAAGCGCACCAAAATACCGACCTTATGTTTGAGCCTTGTTCTTACCAAGAATTCCTAACAAGGTTCACAACACTGCGTAGAGATCACTTATTTGTAAGATGTCGAGGTTACTACTCACAATTTCGCCATCCATCTTGTTTGCTTGCAGAGTCCATTGCGATCCCTGCCAGGTAATGTGTAAGTAAGTATCAAAATTTTTATATAACAATGAAAATTTGACAACATTGGTGACAACACTGATGGGTGAACAGCACAGATTTGCCCATTTATTTTCGTACATTCTTCTAATATTAAAACCTAATTTTCATCATCTGTGACTCCAAATAAAGGCTAATCATTATCATGCCTCATTACAGGTATTAAAGTACGCTCACTATGCCGCTGAGCACATGCATTGGGACATTCAGCATACAACAGAATGAATGAAAAGTGTAGCTGTGGTACTAGTGTGCCTTCCAATATTCCTTGCACCAACTGGCTGAACCTGATCGTCTATGCCGCATTTATCGTGTGAAGCTAAGTTTTACGAGCATCTACGATACCGAGAGTGGCGCAGATCGAGTGATTCCTTACCCGGCGCAGCTTTCTGTGGAGACTTGATTTGAGTGGCGATCAGAGCGCATAATTCACCAGAAGCAATCTTAACGAAACCACCGTATTTCATTATTGTTGCCCACAACCAATACAAGCTAAACGAAAAAAAAAACGAGGCTAATTATTTTGCGATGAATTCACGTATTTTGTTCCACTGAATAAACGCTTCAAAACTGAAGTACCTTCCAGCATATCTAATCTATCTATTTGATCGAGAATATCTCATAGAAAGACTTAAAAAAAACTTCAGTTTATTTGTTTGCATAAAATACAGGCAATCCTCGAGCGTTCCGATAGTTGAAACCACTTTGGGATGTGGTCTGCTTCGTGCACATAGAGAGAAGCTAAGGCTCAAGCTAGCGCCCCTGATATAAGCACATGTGTCAATTGTAGCAATTACTTTATCGAACAAGAGTACATTTCTGATCGTGGGATAATGAAAAAAATGTCTACCTTTAATTGCATGATTTTTACTACTCGTTCTTTTTTTAACTCTATGAGGGCCCCGCCGTGGTGGTCTAGTGGCTAAGGTACTCGGCTATTGTCCCACAGGTCATGGGGACGAATCCTGGCAACGGCGGCTGCATTTTTCATGGAGGCGGAAATGCTGTATGACCGTCTTTTCAGATTTCGGTGCGTGTTAAAGAACCCCAGGTGGTAAAAATTTCCGGAGCCGTCCACTACGGCGTCTCTCATAATCATATGGTGTTTTTAGGACGTTAAACCCCACATATCAATCAATCAATCAATCAATTAGGTAATAAATTTAGCTCTATAGGAAATTTGAATTTTTACATAGACTTGGTAAATGTATGAGACCTCGATTGATTATTCTATGTTATGAAACCCCTCTTGATAGGCCCTCTTTTCGAAGGGAACCCTGATCTGATGCGAAGCAGCAGCGTTCATTGCGCACGGGTGGTGGTACAGGATGAACGGCGCTAACGCGGGTGCTGCGGTGTGCGCTAGAAGTTTCCTTTGAAGTGATGGTTGGCGTAGGTCTTGTTAAAACCCCTAGAACGAAGTTCTAGGGTCTTTTGGTTTTGTAGGTGACACGTACAGACATATTGCAAAGCGTACGTTAGGTGCGCGTCAGAGTTATTGCGCGTGAACCGACGAGTCGTAGGTGCAGCGAGCGGTGGTCAGGGCAAGTGTTGCGGGTGAAACGAACGAAGCGGCAGCTACGGGCGCCGCGGCGAGCGCGCGGCAGGCGAGGGAGAGAGCGACGTCAGCACGCACAGCGAGTGGAGCGTGACATAAACGCGCAGCAGCGGCGTGAACTACTTCGCACCGCGCTAATGCCTCTGGCGCGCAGTGAATTCGAACGGAGGGACAGCGTTACACAAGCTAGTCAAAGAGCTGCTTCGCATCTAATAACAAATGTAAGTATTAAGTGCTTGAAAATCTGTTTTATTAGCCATGCTAATGCTTTTTCAGATAACATTACAGTCGTCCTTGTTCAGCAGTGTATATCTAGAGGACTATTTTCTTGGTGGTTATGTTTTTTATTCGCACCGTCCTTGATGCCTTTCTTGTGTCATTCTGTAAATTAAACAACTAAATTAAATAAAAGGCACACTGCAGTTAATGTATCGTCTACACATAGAGCAACAAGAGGGGTTGTGTGTCCTCTAAACAGCTTGGACACTTTGGCTAGTTTGTATGAGTTCACCTCAGTGAGGAGCGGTTTCTCTCTCGACCAAGGCTATCCTGCTGTAGACAGCATTCTCTCCGTGCTGCCTACTGAGCGAGTTAACAGCCTGACTAAATGGCCAAAAAGTGAGCTTTAAGCGTGATCACTTTCTCCTGCACCCCATCTGAAAAAGCTCTTAGAGGATTGCGGAGAAGCAAGATCAAGAATTTAAACTTAGAATGCGCTCACATTGGGGATAATTTTATACATTCAGAATCATCCGTACGCGAGCTCTAAAACCAGGTAGGAGTTGACAGTTGTTTCACCTGTTGGTCGAAGAGAGCCCAGAAGACAGGCAACGGCACGTAGAGAACAAGCACGTGCAGGACGTCCTTGATGTCGGCAATAAGCGATCTCTGCGAAAACACCAGATAGAAAATTTAAATGTCGAGATCATTCGAGGACTTAGTATACGACCACATTTGAACATTTGAATGGCATTCGTCAACTGCAAATGCGAAACAATTTTTGGCGACAGGAAGTCCCTTTAGTCGGTTCTATCTATCTATCTATCTATCTATCTATCTATCTATCTATCTATCTATCTATCTATCTATCTATCTATCTATCTATCTATCTATCTATCTATCTATCTATCTATCTATCTATCTATATCTATCTATCTATCTATCTATCTATCTATCTATCTATCTATCTATCTATCTATCTATCTATCTATCTATCTATCTATCTATCTATATCTATCTATCTATCTATCTATCTATCTATCTATCTATCTATCTATCTATCTATCTATCTATCTATCTATCTATCTATCTATCTATCTATCTATCTATCTATCCGCTGCTCTCATGATCGCCTTCCTAACTTGGTGCGGATGTGCGCCACAACTGATTGACAGTTTATATCCACACGAATGCAAGCTCTCTCATATTTTCACTGTCGGCGCTCTTCCAGAGTTACGCGCGGACTGCCCATGTGGAAGTTATTAGTAGAAATTGATGCGCGCTTGCCCGGTGCCACGGCTGTGACGTGATGGACGACATCACTCGCAACGTAGCCAATGGCTCGCGTGCTTCGTACAACGTTGCGAATGACGTCAATGATAATACAGCCAATGAAGATTGTTTGTGATACCAATGCCAAACGGTTTTTCGTTTCTCCTAGCCATTTACAGCTTTGGCTCTGAAAGCGACATATGCAGGGTTGACTCGAAGAATGCAAAGAACAAAATTAAGGATCGCACCAGGAATTGAACTCAATCCTTCAACGTGAAAGTCATGCATTGTGCCATACACCCGTGCCTGGTATAGAAAGTGAAACACCTCAGCAACGTGAATCGTGTTTGTGCTGGTGGCAATTCAGTATTCCACCTAAGCGCTGACCACTTAGCAGCCGCCGTTGAAAACTGCGCTAAGAGGGTGTACATTGAAAGGAGATATGTTACTACGTAGCGTGTGTTGAGGAGCGGCCACCTAGTTCCTTTATTTCGGCCATACCAAACGCGTGATCCCGAAAGAAAAGAAAGCGGTGTTGAAAGACCATGCGTGCTATAGCGGTGGAAAGAAGCCAACGTATCGGTTATAGCACTTCTCGAATGATGCAGATGACGTGAAAGTAGGCAACGGACAGTATGGCGCAAGAATATACATAGACAGGTGGTGCTCACACTATCCCCGCAACGCGTTGAAAAGGCAACCCCAGCGCAGCCAGATAATGTTCGGGCCCCGCCGCGATGGTCTAATGACTAATGCACTCGGCTGCTGACCCGCAGGTCGCGGAATCGAATCCTGGCTGCGGCGGCTGCATTTTCTATGGTGGCGAAAATGCTGCAGGCCCGTATGCTCAGATTTGGGTGCACGTTAAAGAACCGCAGGTGGTCAAAATTTCCGAAGCCCTCAACTACGGCGTCTCCCATAATCGTATAGTGGTTTCGGGACGTTAAACCCAAAACATTCAGAAATGAATTAATCATTCAAGATAATATTCGGACTGTGACCAGTTACCTTGCATCTTCATCGGTGCCTTCTTAGACAGTGCTACGATGAGTAGGACCAGCCGTCTCGGCAGCACGCTCGGCAGAAACGCGCATGCAGTGGATTCTGGGTATTTTTGTTGGCATGTGTAACTCTGTTTTGAAGCCAGGCTTTTTTGTTCGCACGCGTTTACTGCTCTTTTATTGATGAAGGCAACATCAAATTGGTGAAATGTTCTCGAAATTGGTAGAACGTGTTTTGTACCAAACGGCCGTTCTGGCCATCGCAATTGTGCTGAGCGTGTGCCTCTCTTCACAGTAACTTCTTGATATATATATATAGTATACACTGTAAGAAAAACACTCCTAGGTGGGAGGAAAATGGTTGTCCTCTAACGCCCCCCCCCCCCCTACTCAGAGGAATTTTCGCTTTGGACTTCCGGAGCAAAGTGTTTACTCCGGCTGGTCGGAGCAAATGCGTGGCACCACCATAGCATTTTTTACCGGCCTTTTGCTCCGGCTTGCCTGAGTGATTACGTGGCATCTCCGGAGCATGTTTAACGGGCTTTCCACTCCGGCTATCCGGAGCTTCTGCATGGCACCTTCGGAGTATTCTACAAGTGTCCTTACTTCATCCAGACTGAATTTCAGTGGCGTGCATTGGCATTTTTAAGTGTTTGCTTCTCTATTTATTTATTGTATACTGATCGTGTCACGCGTCGGTTACATGAAGGAATTCTCTGATCCGATGCAAGCACTGCAGACTTACTGTCTATTTTTCCCACAGAGCTCTAGCAGATGAAAGTCAAGAAAACAATAGATTTCATATTGTTTGATTTATTAAGAATAAGCTGCCGCTTCTAATTGATGACCCAGCAAATCGAAAAAGAAGACAAAAAGAAAAAAAACATACAAAAAAGCACCAGACACAAAACGCAAGAAGACAAGTCACATGAAGTCCACAACACTCAAGTTTGAAGTGCAGCGCTTTGAAATGAAGGCTAGAATGCTGCAAAACGATGTACGATAAACGAAGAAAGCGTGGCCACCGGGAACACCTGCCCACCGGCCCTGAAGAATCATTTATCAGCTTCATTGACGATACAAAGGTTCCGCTGATTGCTTCCTGCATATTTTAGCAAAAAATAATTATACATGAGAACTGCAAATCACGCGAGAGGCACAAAAACTAAGGACTCTGAAGCAACGGGTACCCTTTGAATCCTATACAGTCTGCGAGTACGCGAGAACAACTAGCTTGCTTGCTTACACACACACACACACACACACACACACACACACACACACACACACACACACACACACACACCACACACACACACACACACACACACACACACACACACACACACACACACACACACACACACACACACACACACACACACACACACACACACACACACACACACACACACACACACACACACACACACACACACACACACACACACACACACACACACACACACACACACACACACACACACACACACACACACACCACACACACACACACACACACACACACACACACACACACACACACACACACACACACACACACACACACACACACACACACACACACCACACACACACACACACACACACACACACACACACACACACACACACACACACACACACACACACACACTGCACAAATTGCGCCCATCTGTGTTCTCTTCCTTCTCGTTCATTTTTTTGCGCAAGACGCCGTTCACAATGGAATACCAAATCGCCCAATTTTCGGTTCTTCAGAGCTCTAAAATCCGTCTTCCCAAGCAACCCGACCCTCCCTTCTTCACGCATTACTCGCCACTGGTCTCGTCAGCTCCTTTCCTCCCTATATTTTTTGTACTGAAAGCAGAACGACCCCGAAGGGCTCAATATTTTAGACACAATTTATACAATAAAAAAACTCCCTAAACTCAGTGCGTGTATTCGTTCTAAACGTCTGCACCAAACAAATTGTCCTAGCTCAATTCACTACATTTATAAAGAATTAAGATGATCTCAGCTCTTCATGTTTTATTAGTACAGCTTAGATGATAGATCAAACCTCGACCTGGCGTTTAATAATATGGAAGGCGGGCAAATATTACCGCTCATGTATGATGACAATACCAAAAATATTTTGACCTGTTAGGTTTATTTATAAGAATCAACCTACAATCATGAACTTTTCATAATGCATATCTAATCAGAGCCCCAAATATTAGAGTGGTGTAATTAAAATTACCAAAGTTATGTCAAGAAAAATACTCGTAGGCTAGACAACGCATTATCGCATTTTCCGTTGACGTTTCCTGATGTCCTATGAAATTAGCTCGCTTTCGATAACCTGTTCGTTCATAAACGCAACAATGGCTATCTTAGCACTACGTGACAAGAATGACAACATATAATTCAAGAAGAGCTCACTCACCTGTTATGAACCGCACCAGCGACCGCGAAATCCCTCACCACTCGCGAGGTCGGAATGTGTCGTTCGCAGCCTGTAACCATCGCACGATTAAGGTTCCCACAACTCCCTTATGCCGACTAAGGTTGGACGGCGGGCTTGTTGGTTATTCATGTTGTTCGAGGTATAGCGCATCCAGGACGGGACAGAGAAGAAAACACAGAAACACATACACGGCGCTAACTTTCAACAATGCGATTTAATCCAAGAAACAGCAATACTTATACCCAAACATGGCGCGTCACAACCACGTGCTAGAACCAGAAAACTGATCTACTGCTACTCATGCGACATCCAAATAATGCAATTCTTTCAATGATAATGATATCGATGGCTTGCTTATTCACGCGTCCCCAAACTTAGCAATGAATTTCGCTTCTATGATGAGCCTTGTCATTTGGTTAGTGCTTCTTCCGATTATGCTGGTGCGATTATGCTGGTGCGATGTGGGTGGGCACAGCGGCACTCAGGCAATGCGGACGCTTAACCCCTTCGTCTTCATCGTGCAGATGCTGCAGCTCTTCCCGGACTTGCTGTTCTCTGTCAGCGGTGGAAACGCCATCTTGACCACGGACACGTGGACTGCGCAGGCATTCAACGCACCGACACTACACGCACCAGATATCCTGCTCTTCGTGGCAGTTGAATCTGTGTTGCGTCACTACAAGGCAACCAGTGCAATCGACCTACAAGCAGCGCCACCACGGATAACCACGACTACAAAAGCGCCCGCACCAAACAACGCAGGCTGTGGGCACAGCGGCACTCAGGCAATGCGGACGCTTAACCCCTTCGTCTTCATCGTGCAGATGCTGCAGCTCTTCCCGGACTTGCTGTTCTCTGTCAGCGGTGGAAACGCCATCTTGACCACGGACACGTGGACTGCGCAGGCATTCAACGCACCGACACTACACGCACCAGATATCCTGCTC